AAGTCTTCGTACACTTATATTTTATGAACTTACTTGTATGACAGGAAATGGGAGGTAGTTCAAATTGTTGACAAGATATCGAAGACTGTAACTGTAACCCATAAAAGCTCCAAGGAGTAAAAGGAAGAGATGATATTCATTCAAGCATGTGTGAAGGGTAGCATCATCAGCACTGCAGCAAAACAGCAATTTTAGTGTTTGCATACAGTTCACGCAGAACTCTATTCTTTGCTTCCCTTTCAAAAATATATCATCTGATTTTGCATTTCTTAAAAAGATCTATATGGAATGTTGCAAACTTCCAGATATGCTGAGATCAGACCTCCAGGAATTTCCATTCAATAAAAGTTCAAAAATATCTGGAGATCATGAGAATGGAGAAGGTTGATTTAAATACATGATAATTTAGTACTTTTGGAAGGGATAGGAATCCTCTTTTTTGTAAACTAATTCCCCTTGTTTTAAAAACAACGCAGCAAAATTTCACACAAGATCTTTCCCACAGCACAAGTGTCTTAGCACTATCTGACAGGAATGTACAAATGTTACAGGACTGTGATTAGCAGCCATGAAAATAGTTTTTCCTCAATGATTAACGTCTCAGAAGCAAAAAGCCACAATGTGACTTCTACTCAAAGGTAGCCCAAAGAAAATATTTCTGCTTACTGATGTCAATTATTTTTTTAACGACGATTTAATCCTAAAGAATTGGTCTGAACAAAATTATTTGTGTTATTGCCACACTTGAAATGGAGGGGGCAGAGGAGAGAAAGATCACTATTGGGCTTTTTACAACATACATGAGTAACTTATTAATTAAGGCAAAAAACATGATGTCCAAACCCAAAATCTGCATTTTCTCCTTGCAGTGGGGAAAGATTACAAACACACCCACCAGCCTGCTATGCCATCCACTATGGCTTGTCTGTTGCAGGCAAACAAAGATCACAGAACTGCCAGGAGAAAATCCTTGGACGAGCCAAAGTGTATAAATATAGTATTGTAAAATTTTTGGTCATGTTGTTTTTATTCATTTTTCCATGTTATGTATAAACGGAAAGCTTTGGGATTATACCTTTCTGTAGTGGTAGCTGTGCAGGGCATGGACAAAAAGAGGAATTTCCCCTTGGTCATAACTGCAGCACACCAAGCCACCAGCATCCCCATCACAGCATGAGCAACTGAGTGGATCACCTGCTGCGGGTGGATAATCTTGCTTATTAGGGCTAAACGGGAGCAGTGAATAGAAGGCACAACTGCAAAATAAAGAAAACAACATTAACCATCTCCTCCTTAAATGACTCCTTAGGTTTCCCTCCTATTGCATTATGTTCCAAACCATGGCATTCCAACCACACCATTTATTTTAATATTAGATAACAATAGCAATAGCACTTCTATAGTGCTTCATAGTGCTTTTATAGCCCCCTCTAAGCAGTTTATAGAGTCAGCGTATTGCCCTCAACAATCTGGGTCCTCATTTTACCCACCTTGGAAGGATGGAAGGCTTAGTCAACCTTGAGCTGGTGAGAATTGAACTACCAAAATGCAGTTAACAGTCAGCTGAAGCAGCCTGCAGTAACCACCTCGGCTCTTAGATAGCTCTTAATATGAAAGGTATTCATATTCAAACCATCCTGCCCATTAGAGAAGTTTTTCAATGATAAAGGCCAGCTTTGTGAGAATTCTTAAGATACTGATGACTCAAGGAACAATTAGGAGAATAACTCAATTTCTCTTTGGATTATAGAATAAGAGAGACCCCAAAGTGTATCTTAAAAGTAAGGATATTTTTAGGACACTAATCAGGGCCAGGCGGTGCATCTTATTCGATACGGCTTTCAGTACCCACCTGCGTGAAACTGAACATTGAAGACATTTATTACCAGTATCACCACAGACAGCAGGAGTATGCAAAAGATCACATAGGATGTATATAAATCATTGAAAGAATCTGGAACAGAAAAAGTGAATTCCTTTTGAGAAAGGATTATAAAGCAGCTCTAACTGGAACAACGGTTTAGGACCTATACGTCTGAATAATGTCCTAAGATCATCTGCACTGAAGATATTACCTAGTTGGATAATGAAATGTCTATAAGAAAACAACCAAGCTCAGAAAGCACCAAAGACTCTACAGTTTCTAGCACAATTCTCAACCCAGTGTTGAGAATCCCATGGTCTTATGTACGATCCATGCATTCAGGAGAAAATTTTAGCTGCCTTTCCCTGAATCTTAGTTTTATCTAACTTTAGTAAAAGCTAAGAGCTGGCAAAAGGCAACTAAATTATTCTGGCAGTTTCTCTTAAATTGACAAGATTTTGTCAGATTTTTTTAACTAAACCTCTAATTAAATTAGAGGTTATCATAAACCATAATCAGAGATGTGACAATCAATTTGAAATGCTGCATAAGTGTTATCAACATAATAAGTACCAAGCAGCGTGATTAAAATACAACAAAATACTATGCAGCTGTATTATTCTGCAGCACTGTTATCCAACATTGGGTACATTTTGTACATACCTGTGATCCACTGAACAGGATGGAAGAGGTCAATAGTGGTAATGCTGATGAACACTGCCACACACAGAGGAAGCAATAGCACAGACCAAGCAATGCTTGCTGCTGCTCTCCATCTTAAGATCTAGGGAGGAAAAAATCTGATAGTTGGGGAAAGATAAACGTGGCGTTTAAAAATAAAAATTCTGGCCACCAAACATACTCAGCTTTATATAAAATATGTCACATAAATCCAAACTGAGATCACAGTGGAATAACTTAAATAGTTTTTAACCTGAGATTGTTATATGGTAGGTCACCAGAACAAGGGGAGTTAATTTGAAATTCACCTAATACCATTCGTCTAGAATCCAGGAATGGGAATTAGAGGCAGAAACAGGGACAAAATAGGGTAATCATTTCTTTCTTTAGTTGTTTTTTTAAACTCAGCTACAAAGTCCCATCCTTTCTTACACCACAGGCAGGATGACCTAGACCACTACCAGGCTTCCACAGACTTTATTTTGATCTTTTGTATTTCAATAACAATAAAAGAGGAACCATGAATTTGCTAAATAGTGTAAGTTGACTTGGGCATTGGCCAGGGGGCCAGCAAACAAGGGGGGCCCTCAGGATACTCCATTAAAAACCCTTGTTTCATATCAAACTAGATGCAGTATGGTGCACGAACACATGCCTGAAATACATTGCGAGTGGCAAATTCACTAAAATTATCCAGAGGCTGTGGGAAAGAGGGCACTTTTATAATCATAGAGGATTTCAACCTTGGAAGTCAATGATCTCAGAATCTATATAGGCAGAGTGAAGCACAAAGGAAAAAGTTATGAAAAATTATGGTTCTGATTCTACAGCTCCATTCACACAGCTGAATGTTTACAATTCAAGTTCCGGTAAGCTTTTTTGGCACATGGTGTTGTCTAAGCAGTTTTCAAAGGCATGTATAGTTGTCAATCTACAAAAGAGCTGTATTTGTCTACCACAGGAAAATTAGGCCAATTGTATCTAAAACAGATTTAACATACTTGGATAGCATTTTATTTAAAAGCACCATCTACTGTAATAAAAAGGATGGGGAAAGGGGGCTCAGTCCATCACTTTTATTGAGACTGGTTACATTTACCGTAATTCTTTTTCTCCCTGACCAACTAGCTAGCCTGATCAGTGGCCCTCCATGTGTGTGTAATTTACTTTGGGATTATTTTGGAGGATATTTTTAATTATCTTATTAGAGATGCTCTAATAGGTAAGCTTTTTCAGTTGCAGAACTGAATAATTATTGCATACTGACAAAATATGCAAATGTAGTAGTGACCTTACTGAGGATGAATGGGATAAAAATATAATTAAATATGCCACAATCCTTCAGATTCCCAACTTCCTGCTTTTCAGATGTGTTAGTATTTCTATGATTCTCAACCAACTTGGCCAAAGATTGGTTGGGACTTCTGAACGTTGTAATTCCAAAACATCTGAATCAAAGGGTGGTTGCTCCCGGTTTAGCCTGGATCAGGCGAACCAGTAGTAGCGGTGGGAGGCTCTACCTGGATGCTTCTGTGTAAAAACGTCATGCATGTGAGTGAGAGCATGCACATGAGTGAACTAGTAATAAAAAATGGGCAACCCACCATTCATCTGAATGGCACTAGATTGGGAAAGACTAGAAGTTATTTTCCTTTTAAAGTTATGAGCAGAATCTCCATTTTCCGTGCTCAATTCCCTAAAAGGAGAAATCTTCCAGCACTAGCAATTCAGCGAAATTTCTATCCCCGTCTCCTAACAAGATTACACCCACCCCCACCCCCCAAAAAAGAAAGCTTCAGGACCTAACATACTGGTTAGTTTCTTACATAAACTTAGTGATAAAGTTATGGTTTATTTGAATTGTTGAATGAAAGACAATGCTGGCTTCACAAAAGAATAAAAAGCCATATTTTGTAAATCACAATTACTGGATTTGCACGTTTATGTGCAAAATAACCGGCTATGGCTTAGCTTCCCACGTGAATCCAGCCATTGAAAACCTGCTGACAGCATTACGGCTCCTTTAAAAGCAAAAAGGATCGGCCAGTGGCAATTTCAGGATTTTCCATGGATGGGAAAAAATGTCCAGCTTAATAGAAAATTAAAATTAAAAAAGCGTGGCATTTTAATATTTTCATATCTATGTTGAGTCATTGCAGGCGCGTTTTGACACGAATCCCCTACACGCATAAGAGCAGTTGCAGATTCTCGTGCGAGAAAGCAAGTATCCTTTACACGCTTTTGTATCACGAAATCATCGCAGTCATGAATATGTGGATGACCAGCGTGCGCGCTTAGTCTTTAGGAGCGTTTAATACGAGCGTGGAATTATACGTACACTGAGCTGTTCCCGCGTTGAAACATCTCCCATCGTGCAAAAAGGCAATGAACGGTATCGGTTCCCGGATGTACTCCCAGCAACCACCGCTCTCCTGCCAGTAGTAGGGCAATAGCTTCAATGACGTCTTTTTAAGACCACACATCGTAACGCCGTTCCTGGTGGTGGTGGGGAAAAACCATCAGTAAAAACAAAAACAGACAGATAAAGGGGTTAGGGTTATATATTTAGTAAAACTCGACTTTTTTTCCTCCGCGTGATCGAATGTCTAATCCACGAATCCCTTTCGGAAAATTTGCAAAAGTGGAGAACGGGACGAGAAGTAGTGAGAAAAGAAAAGAAAGCCGAGACCATATCACAACAGTGTGGGGAGGGGGGGCGTCTTTAAGCCGGAATCCCACATCAAAGCAACTAAAAGTGAGTGGCAAAAAAAATTAAAATCACATTTAATTGGACCAATAACTTCTATATAGAATTCCTGAGTTTTTCACTTTCGAAGTCGGACTTTAAAAAGACACCTTTTGTCTCTCATGGGAGAATGCAAAATATATTTGCATCGTTGACTAATTAATGTTTATTGGAAGATCTTCTACAGAAGAGCCGCTACAGTTAAATGTGGTTTGCTTCCTAGCCGGAATTCACAGGCTTATTATAAGTAATATATATTATAAGTATTATAAGTAATATTATAAGTAAGGGAAATGAAATCTAGAACATTTTCTCTTGGTCACTTCTCGGTTATATTCATGCAGTGGTGTATTAACCATTAAGCAGACTAAGCACATGCTTAAGGCACCAGGCCCAAGGAGGCACCACAAAGTTGAGAAAGAAAAAAAAACCCAATGAAGATGTGCACTATGTACAAAGGAGGGGAGCATCAAGATTTGTCAGTGCTTAGGGCACCAGTGAGCCTTAATCTACCACTGTATTCATGCAGATTGTTTTGGCAACGATATGGAAGTTTTTTGCTATCGCCTTTTGCCAAGATGCTTTTCAACTTCCCAGTTTAGCTCAGCATTTCTCAATCTCAGCAACTTTTAAGAGATTTGGATTTCAGCTCCCAATAATTTCCCAGCCAGCAAGTCCAAAGAGCTTAAAAGTTGTTGAGGTTGAGGAACACAGGTCTGACTGACAGTTCTAGGATTGCCGAGTGGTCTCCTATCCAAATTCTACTCAAATCCAATTCTGCTTCAACTCCTAAGAGCATCCACAGTCAGCTACTTGCTGACACGTCATAGCCAATTCAGGAAATGGATTTTCTGGTCTTTTTTTTTCTTCTTTAAAGTGACTCTGCTACCTGGAAGGTTAACATATCCACTATATTTTAAACTGCCATGGCTTTAAGTTTTTTATGCTCTGGAAAAGCTTTACCATTTAATTTAGCCTTTTCCGTAATGCTTTCGTGATCTGCAACTGTTCCTGTAATTAGAACATCATTGGGGCACATTTTAAGAGTACCAAGCTAGGGAAAAATGCATTCTCAATTGATTGCTGCTGTCTCTTTAAAGGGAGGAGAGGGAGGGAGAGAGCGACGAGGGAGGGGTTTACTTTAGTGCCTGCTGTTTCCGGCAATACAGGTTGGTTCTCAGCGTCTTCCATCGGGGTTGTATTGCCCCGAGGAGGTAGCGACGGCGCCGCCTGGTGGTGTGGTTGGGTAGTAGGACTCTGACTGCGGCCTGTCTTTAGGGACAGGGATAAAATCCGTGTTTGGCTAGCAAAAGCCCATTCCACCCACACCCCCACACCAACTCCCAAGAGATGTCAGGTGTGAATGTCAACATAGGAGCCTTGTAAACTCTGCTCAAGAAATTGAGAGTGGTTGGATCAAACCCCTTTCCCCCACATAAGAGCAATTCTTAATCTGCTTTTCTTTAAATGATCCTAACTAATTAGAAGCAGATTTCTGTAGGTGTTGATCTGCAATTTTATTTCTTCCTAATTGTAAGTTTGCAACCATGGACAAAGGGAGGATGGTGGTTTCCTGGGCTTAAGATGCGGCCAGATGATAAGTTTCCTTTAAGGGTACTGTACTCCTTGTGTGACACTGACAGAGTATAGGGTGTGCTGGAAAGAAAGGAAACCCAGATACAGATTTCTGTGTAAATATTTTTTTTTAAAGCATACTGCAGCAAATATGATTACATTTCACAGTGCTGCTGCAAAATCCCTTAAGCATTATCTAAGTTTTCTCGTATAATGTTGTACAGTACTGTGGATTATAAACTGAATTATTTTATTTGGAAAAGTAAATGCTTTTGCTTTATATTTTTCATGGAATAACCAGAATACAAGTGAAAGTTGAACAAAATCTGTTGTGCTCCAAATACAGTTAAGATGAGATTTTTTTTCAACATCTGCTAGAGATACAAATTTTTATTAGCCAAATGCAAGTATAAGAGTTCCTTGTAAGAAGGAAGGGAAAATCAAGTTTTGCATCACTTCTTCTCTGACTAAATGCCAGCCAGAGTGTTCTTTTCCTTGCATTAAAATTGCTTTAATTCACCAATTTTTAATCCCTTTCATTCTGAGGCTTAAGGCAGTAAACATACCATTATTTTCCCCCACAAGTCAAAAGAGTGACTAGTGCAAAGTCACGCAGTGAGTTTCCGTTATTGGTAGTAGGAAGTTAAACTGTGGACACACATACCTCTTACCAGGGCAACTCATAATGGGAACTCAACTACACATTGGATTATGACTTCTCTGTACAATTTGATTGTCATACTTTTTTTTCTTTTTATCCAGCTAAATTGAGATATGTAAAGGTATTTATCTCAAGTCAAATTGGCTGAATTAATAATATTAATAGAAGATGACAGAAGAGATAATTTCCTTTATAAAGTACTGGTTTGGAGTATTTGCATTTTTCCCTATTAGATGCAGGCATTTCTGCCCAGTAGGTTAATGTATCCTCTCAATGTTTGTGGCAAGTTTGTGTTCTGGATGAAATGAAGAAGCTGTTGTATGATGCTGAATAACTGCAAGAGCTCTGGAAATCAGTTTCAACAATGAAGAATAGAATTATGGTTTTCAGTCTTAGACAATATTTGTTCCCTTTATATTTTTCAGGATTTTGCTCAATTCCTATTAACAAACTAAGGATATCACTGCATGAATGGCTGCTGTGGATGACTTCAAATTCCAAGGTACATTTCAAAAAGGGGTTTCCAAAATCTTTAGATTGTTTTGTGTTGTAGCCAGTGGTGGGATTCAGCCAGTTCGCACCACTTTGAGAGAACTGGTTGTTAACTTTCTGAGCAGTTTGATGAACTGGTTATTGGAAGAAATTATTAGAGCAGAAAACCAGTTGTTAAATTATTTGAATCCCACGACTGGTCGTAGCTTTGCATTGCAAATTTAATCTCTGCTCATTTATAATGCATGGTGCTGCCACTTATTTTTCAACAAGCAATGTTATCATTGTGAAACTGAATACAATTATCCTTTCCCAATGGGAATTATCTCAAGGTGTAATTTTTTTAATGCACCAAGGAATTCAAATGACATATGTACTTCATTCTTTTTATCTTCTCCACAAAATATTCTGCTTAAACCTAATGCCAGCTTCTCCTTCGGCATTTAATTGTTCCTTGACCAAAACAGGAGATGCAGTAGATGTGCATTGGTTTCATTCAAAGCATATTCGTTATAGTTGTACAATAAGATTAACTCAAGTGACGGATAAGGTGTAATACGCCTTCCTGATGTTAGGTAAGTATTGTTTGTTAGTTTAACTGCTACTTGTTACAAGTCTCCCTGTTGGGTCTCTGCTTTGTGGTGCTGCTTTTTATATTAAATTTCAGAATACAGTATAATGAATTTTTTTTTAATAAATAACAGTTCTGGTGAACTCAGTTCTAGGGCACGGATCCAAAGCCTTGCTTAACTGGGTAAACAAACGTCTTGGTAATTTGACAATATATTTACTTTAGAATAAGATGCAAGAGTTAATACCATATAGCTGTATGCCTTGAGAGGAAATGCTAAGAAAAATAAAGTCATTTGCAGGAAATGTTTGATTTTCAGAATTTGACGATGCAGCCAATTTGTTGGCAGCCAATCCAGATGCTGTCACTATAAGTATTGATAAACCTACTGAAAAACCAAAGAAAAAACATGGACACTTGCAAGAATCTGGAAGAGAAGAAGACGATGAACTTCTGGAGACAGATGATTCTGATAAAACTGAGGTTTGATGAAAGCATACTGATTCTATCTGGCAAACTGCTATTCTTCCTCATATTGTTAATAAACACTGCACATATTGTGTACAAAAAAGCAATAAAACTATTAAGGACATCTCTCTGCAGGAAACAATAGTCTTGGGATGATTCATGTACTATAAATTTAGATTGCAGCTAGAAACCATCTAATGGGGTGAGGGATTTTCCCCCTTAATGAAGTGTTACCTTTGACTTGAATCATCCATTAGCATTGTGCTGATATACAAAGGTGTTGTTGCCATTGTTACAATCTTGGTTTGCATTTCTGGTTTAATAAGTCAATATTAAGGGTTAGGGTTACACTTATGTGTAAACAGATTATGATTAATTTTAACTTTAGGATATTCTGCATGACTTTTTTCACTTCTAATAGCAATGCAAACTGGATATAAACCTCCACTCCAATAACTTTAGAAGGGATTTTTGTCCCTGCCAATGGACAATAGTAACAATACTTGATTGTGTTTAATATTAAATCTGAACTTCTACACTGACTTTGAGATGGGTTGAGTAAATTCACAGCTATCTAGCCTACAAATTGAAAATATATATATGCATCTATGACTGGGAATGAAGAAATGAATAATAACTGGGCTTGGGTAAAACCGTGAATCAAATCATTTCCTCATTCACAAATATATTCTTTTAGTTCACTACAGTGTGGTCTAAATTATTGGGCTTTGGCCAGGTTGATTCCAGGTTGTCTGTCTCTCTGATAAGAGACTTGGCAAAAATACATGCATGTGCTTTCAGTGAGATGAGTTTGTAGAATTAACACAATGTAAGTAACCCTAACGTAGAGTATATGGCATAGATTTTTCTGAAAGCTCTGCTTTCCAGCACAAATGCCAAATTCAACTTTATCCAGAGAGGTTCCTGTTTCTGTCATAAGTGATATTGTTTGTATGTGTAAATAATATATTTGAATAAGAAATAAACCTGTACTTTCTTCTTAAAATCCTGTCTTCCAGTTGCTTGCTGGGCAGAAGAAAAGTGCTCCATTCTGGACATTTGAATATTATCAGACATTTTTTGATGTGGATACGTACCAGGTTTGTTATCTCCACATATGTGTATGTGCATAATCAGGGTGGGATTCTACTAGTTCAGACTGGTTCGGGCAAACAGGTAGCTCCGATGATCAGCTGGGCCCACCTACCCACCCACCCCTACAGGCTTTACTGACAAGAGTATCTTCTCAGCTGAGTTGCATGACAGAGTGGATTGCCACGCTTCAGCTGTTTTCCTCCCCAGCAGTAACGAGGAAGGCAAGTTTTCTCAAAAATGCACAGGCAAAGCATGCAATCATCAAACCGGTTGTTAAACTGGTAGGATCCTACAACTGTGCATAATGTGTTTACTTTAATGAAATAGTTTTCTTTTTTCTTTTTGTTTCCGTGAGCCAATCTTGCATAGCAGATCCTGCTCTGTGTTTATTTTGCTACTTCCTTGTCCATATGTGACTTAAGGAAAAGGTATACATGACTATCCTTTTGAAAACCTTCCAAATATCCATTGCTTCTTGCTGCCAATTTAAATAGTTGGAATAGAACTTTGTGGATATGATCATCATTTTTCTAATTTTTCATGATCATGTATTATTTTTTAAAGATTTTTCTTGTTCTTCATACAGATAGTCCTCGACCTACAACCATAATTGAGCCCAAAATTTCTGTTATTAAGTGAGACATTTGTTAAGTGAGTTTTGCCCCATTTTAAAACATTTTTGCTACAATTGTTAAGAGAATCACTGCAGTTGATAAGTTAGTAACCTGGTTGTTAAGTGACTCTGGCTCCCATTGACTTTGCTTGTCAGAAGGTCACAAGAGATGATCACATGACCCCAGGATACTGCAATTGACATCAAGTTTTGCATTTCTTGTCCTTTTTAAAAACCATCTTGAACCTTTGGCATTTCTTTATGCATTGTATGACCTATTACTTTGCCAATATGTGAAATTTAGGATATTGTGCAATAGTTTGCATATTCTATTAAGTTGCCTGTTTTTAGTATTGGAAATAGGTTGACCTCCTCCAATCTGTTGGCCACTACACAGATTGTAGCTCTTTAGCATGGCTTTCCAGATTTACTGCCATAGCTTGATTGGCACCTTGACTGATTCTTCTCCTGTTGCTTGCCATATTTCTGTAGCTTTTCCATGACTTCCTATAGCTAAGTTCTAACTACTTCTTCTAGTACTAGATGTTCTTGCGAGAGAGACATATTTCCTAAGGAATCTTGGATGTTGACATTTCTCCTATACAGCATACCCCTTCCATCTTGTTTGATCTTTGAATCAGTTACTAACTGTCCATTGGTATACCTTACCATGCATGTAGTTTAGATCTAATAAACCCTTATTTGCTGCTTAAGGAGAAAAGACCTCTGTTGTTTTCTCTCACTTATAGCCATCACCACATTGTAGTTTTTTTTTAAGTATTGTTTTTCCCCCCCAGAATTCAATGCAACCAGCTTGCACCTAACATTAAACTACAATGGCTGAATTCATTAAATGCTCAAAGCAAGCACATACCAATTTACGAGTTAGCTTATTTGCAAACCAAACCTATGATTAAGGGAACTAACAAGGCTTTTTAAAAAAAATTAGAAAGAAAATGGCTGGATTTAATTATCCAAATCATAATGTAATTTGTTTGCTTTTGGTTACTTGATGTATGAATGCGAGCAGTATGTTGCACATTGTTTATTTCTGACTGAATAAACCATACTTAATTTGCCCAAGATCCTGATTTCCAATGGGGCAATGTATAGATGGCTTTGTTAAATCCAAAATGTATTCAATATTTCTTTCATTTAAACAGTTTATTTATCTTCAGCCATATGATCTATGCTGCTTTAATTATTATCAGGTTTTGGACAGAATCAAAGGTTCTGTATTTCCAGTGCCAGGGAAAAACTTCGTGAGACTGTATGTTCGGAGTAATCCCGATCTTTATGGTATGTGCAAACAATATAATTTTTGAATAAGGGTTCTTCTCCCGCTTTTGCGCTGAATACAAATAAATAAATGAAACTACATTGGGAATTTGCTTTTGTCTCAATTAAGGTCCGTTTTGGATATGTGCCACCCTAGTCTTTGCTGTTGCAATTAGCGGTAACCTTTCAAAATTCTTCATCCATCTGGGTAAACGTGATTTTCATTATGTACCAGATTTCCGCAAAGGTTCGTAAAATTATTTCAAACAGTTCATATCTATTCAGTTTTTATTCAATGGAAGAGTCTGGTGCGGGAATTGTGGCAAACCAGTTTGCAGATTTCTTTGTAGCCGGAATGTTGAAACGCAGGCAAGGAGCTCTTGATTCTCAGGGGTGGCAGGAGGAAGGAATCCATGACATGTTCCAATAGGGAGGAGAAGCATCATTCACTTTAGAGCCGTGATGGCGAACCTATGGCACACGTGCCACAGGTGGCACACAGAGCCCTCTCTGCGGGCATGCAAGCAGTCATACCAGCTAAGCTCTGCTGCGCATGTGCACACGCCTCCCACAGGCCAACTGGTTTTCGGGTCTCTGCCCCACATGTGTGAGGGGCTGGGTGCATGCACAAGGGGTATGGGGGGTGCATATGGGGGGATGGGTCACACACGCATTGCATTATAGCTGTGTGCGCGTTTTCGGCCCTTGTTGGCAGTGAAGGTTAGCCAGCACTGCTCTATAGGCATCATTCAGGACAGAAAAAAACTGACATGCTGAGCTCAAACAAACCACCCACAGGAGGCTTGGCATTGCAGCCAAACCCTGGAATCAGTGCCTCTAGCTCTAGGTAGCCGAAAGGTGGGTGGGCGGGAAGTACAGCATCTGTACAGCTTTGACATCCGAAGAAGGCAGGAGAGAGATGCTCACAAACATCTGAAGGGTGAAGAGATCCCGTACTTGGATGGAGTCTAGGAAGAGAACATGAGAATGTCAAGCTCAATAACATGAATCATCACTGGTGAAAGAGATGCATTTGCTTGGCTAACTATGCCGGGATGTATTCTAAACCAGCCTGGGGCAGGTGGTTCCTGGATCCATGCCAGACAAGGAAAGACCAGTTGTGTCCTTCTCCATGTTGTAAGCCACAGCAGTAACCAGAATGGATGGGTTCAGTACTTTTGAGAAGAGCTAAAGATAAATCACCCCTCACATAAACTAAGAAACAAATAACTTGTCAAGTTGGATATTTAGCCCAGAATTATATTGCCATAGACTCTAACTTTATCTCCTGCTAAATTCTTTAATTAGCAGTTTTGTCCTGAATTGCTCATTTGTCCTGGGGTTTCCATTTTAAAAGATGTGTCGCTTGGCACATTGACGTGAAAGTGATGGGATAGAAAAATTGTCACTTTCCAAGGTTTGGTATATAGCGTGAAGGTCCTCATTTAGATTAATAAATTTAAAAGAACATCTGGAAGGATATCACTGGTTCTTGCAGAGTTTACTCTGCAGCTCTTGAAGCCAAACATATTATAATGTAAAATGCCTGTTAATCTTGAAATGAATGGTAATCCTAAAATACATGTCTTTATAGTCTCCATAGCTGCGACAGCCATCTATGCTTATGCCTGGCTAGTTCCTCTCGCTCTCTGGGGATTCCTTATGTGGAGAAATAATAAAGTTGTGAACATTGTCTCCTACTCGTTTCTCGAGATTGTGTGTGTTTATGGCTATTCACTCTTCATCTACATACCAACAGCGGTAAGTATTGTACAATTAAGTCTTTTAGGAAGAACAATGTGGCTAATATGTGGAATAGCTAAATAGACCAGTCTCAGATTTTTATATCCCACATGCAAAGTTTAACTGACAGATCTGTATTATGTGATGCAGGACATAATTGTTTAATTGTTTAGGCTGTTATTTCTTGATTTAGTTATGGCAGCTGAGAACCCTAGGGATTGCAGTCCCTACCCACCTACTGGGGAGGTCTTCAAGTTGGAGAAAGGTTTCAAAATCTCTGGAAGTTGACAGACACCACAGCCTTTCTTCTCACAAATGTGTGTTGATAGAGAGGCTAAAACTGTTCTGACCTAGGCTTCCTGATAAAGCATAAATCACAAACCCTCTTTTAGTCTCCCAAACTCTCTTTTATTTAAACGGCTTTGAATTATGGTCATTCACAGCCTGTAATGATTCACAAACAGTCTGTGAAGAGTCCGACAGATGTCTGCCACAGTCTTTCAGGATACTGTTGATAAGCACCCACCTTTATCTCTCTTGAAACGCTGCCAGAAACCTAATTGCCAATTAGTTTTGCAAGACCAAGCAGAGCACAGAGTCAAACCGAGCTTCTCAGAGTTTGAACCAACCAGAATGAACAAAATTGCTTCCTGCAAAGGCTCACATCCATTGGCTCCTCTTTTATGTCTTATGGGAGGGGCCAATCATCTCCCAAGTTTTACTCCCGAGTCTTTTTGTCTTAATTGTTCTTGCCTTCTGGAAGCTCTGCGCATGCGCACAGTGGTAACAGGCTCACGCTGTTCTTCTGCCTCGCTGATGTCAGACTCTGGAAGCAGCACTTAACTACCAAATGGCCCTGACCCCCTCTCTGGCGCGTGTTCCTCCCCAACCTCCTCACTGTCTGATTCTGCTGCAAGCTCCTCAGGCTGCTGGCAGACCATAATAACAACTGTTTGACTGGACAAAGATACAGGACTCTGTGATACAGGATTCTGTCTGTGTACAGGACTCTGCCATGGAGTTCCTTGTCGTGAGGTGCAGATAGGATGAGACAAATGTGCTACTCCTGTACGTCAGGTTTCTCTATCCCAGGTGATGCTGAGGGTGTACCTGGATGGTATTTAGGATAGCAGATTAAAATGTTTTACTTTGCAGCCAGTAAAGCCAGGACTTTATTTCTTTCCTTTCCCCTTGCAGATTTTATGGATCATTCCACAGAAAGTTCTCCGATGGGTTCTGGTAGCATTTGCTCTGTGTCTTTCAGGATCTGTTCTAGTAATGACATTTTGGCCTGCCGTGAGAGATGACAACCGGAGAATCGCAATGGCTACAATTGTAACAGTTGTCCTTCTTCATGCCTTACTGGCTGTTGGTTGCTTGGTATGACAACTCTCAACTTGTCAAGTATTATTTTCAGCGATTCCATTTTTATTTTTCAATATTGATTTTATTTAGATTTGATTAGCTGTTGTAGAATTAGACAATGACATGATATTCAGAATATTTGCAAGCTACTTACATCATATATTGTATATTTGTGTGTATCCATATGCATGTAAGTGTACGACTTAAATATCTCTAGAAGCTTGTTGGAAGGGAATCCCAGGAGGCTGGTTGGAGAGAAAATTAACAGAGTTTTCAATTACTAAGTAACTTTTGGCTTATTTCCTTTTTCATCTTTACTATAGGTTGTCCTCAACTTATGACCACAATTGATCCCAAAATTTCTGCTGTTAAGTGAGACATTTGTTAACTGAATTTTGCCCCATTTTATGAGCTTTCTTGCCGTGATTGTTAAGTGAATCACTGCGGTTGCTAAGCTGGTGACACGGTTGTTACTGTGTTGAATGTGGCTTCCCCATTGATTTTGCTTGTCAAAAAGTTGCAAAAGATTATCACGTGGTCTTAGTTATAGCAATGGTCATAAGTGTGAATCAGTAGCCAAGCATGTGAATTTTGATCACATGAGCATAGGTTGGCTACAAAGGTTGTAAGTATGAAAAATGGACATGTCACTTTTTCAGTTCTGTTGTAACTTTGAATGGTCACTAAATTAACTATTGTAAGTTAAGGACTACCTGTATTATACTTTTCAGTTATATCTACTATAAATAGTGATTTGGTATTGTTTTCCCATATCTGACACTCTGCATCTTCTATCTTGGTCATCTTTGAATATTTTGTTATTTCGATGTTGACTGTTCCCTGCCCAAGTACATTACAGGTAGTCCTTGTTTTACAACTGTAATTGAGCATGGAATTACACTTGTAAGTCATGCCAGTCATGAAGCGGGTCATCCCATGACTGTACCCAATTTTACAACCTTTTTTGAGGTAGTCATTAAATGAGTGCTGTGACTGGTAAGCAAATCCATTGTCCACAATGGGCACTTTTGCTAAAAACCAGAAGTACATCGTGATCACTTATCACGTGATCACTTATCACTGTGGGACACCTCCATAAATGTGGGCCTGTTGCCGAATTTCCAAAACACGATCATGTGATTATGGGGCGGTGGCCAACCATCCCTACTTCAAATCCAAATTGCAAATATCTTTTTAGGGGGTTATCGTAGCTTTGAATGATCGCTAAGCGAATGGTCATACATTGGGGATTACCTATACAAACATATCGGATTGTGATATCCGTGATGTTCTTATATCTCCCTCTTGCTCCCCATTAATGTAGGCATACTTTTTCGATGCGCCTGAACTGGAAGTCCTTTCATTGACTACAGTACTTCCACCTAATGGAACAATAGAAGTAACAAAGGCTCAGTAAATATGGTAAGAAGTTACCTGCTTAGAAAAACTTTTAAGTGTACCGGGCCTCACTGCAAGTGGTATCAATTTAAGCAGTAATACATGCAGTTCAATGTGCTTCAATTCTTAGATGTTATTTCAAGCACATTTTTCCTGGCTGTTGTAGAAGTCTTTTGTTGCACAACAGCTCAGGAGCATCTTACACAAAGCAACTATTGGGGGTGGTGGTGACATGCCAGCTGAGTCATGTTAGGCACTTTCTAAATTTTTGACATATAGAGCAGTGGTGGGCTTCAAAAATTTTAACAAGGAGTTCTCTGCCTGTTTGCTGGATGGGCGTGGCCATAGTGGCCGTGGCCTAATCAGCTTCCTGCACCATAGTGACGGGAGGCGTTTTTGCCTTCCCCAGGCTCTAGAAGCTTTCTTTCAACCTCCGGGAGGCCAGAAATGGCCTCTTGAGGCTCTGGAGGCCCTCTGGAGGCTGGAAAACAGGCCCATTTCTAGCCTTCCCGAACTTCTGGTAGGCCTGTTTTTCGCCCTCCCCGAGCCTACACACACACTGCATCCAAAACAGGCTGCATGGGGACTCCTGGGAAAGGAGGGGTGGAGTGAGCGGGGTCAGCCAGGAGTGGGATATGAGTGTTCTCCAAACTGCACATAATCTTAGCTAGAGGTTCTCCCTAACCCCTCCGAACCCCCAGCAGCCCACACCTGACCATGCCCAAAAGGCTCACCATCACTGCTCTGTTACTCTAACAAACCATTTCTGTACTTTGTTGTAGAGAAATAAGGAGGTACAACAGTATACCGAATATCCCCATGTCTGCTTAAAGCCTGAACTTTCAACTCAATTAAAAACTGGCCCAGTAAATAACATTTTAATCATAAAATTCCAGTCTGTCTTCCAGTCTATTTCAATCTCTGTATGAGCCTGCTGGAACTGATCATCAAGCTTTTGGTGACAAGGTTCTACCAATATGCAGATAATATTCAGCTTTCTTCTTCTCTTCTGAGCCAAGAGTGTATGTGCTTGATCAGTCTGGAACAGGGGTCACCAACCTTTCAGACCTCAGGGACAAATTCATAATTTGAAACCCTGCAGACCACTAATATAATCTGCCTAATGACCAGCTGGATGGGTGTGGCTAGATGGTCATGTGGATGTGGCCAACTTGATGTCACTCACATCAAGGGGCGCCTTGAAGGCCTCTACTCATTCCTCCTCTCCCAGCCACTCCTCACCTCCCCACCCGGGCTCCTTAGGACCCCAACAGGAAGCAGTTGTTGGAGCTAAGCAGCCACCACGAGAAAGAGTTGGCAAAGCAGCTGGCTCAGTTCAAATTGGATCTGACCGAGAAGGAGGCTCAGCAGAAGCACCTCACTGAGGACTACAAGCATAGGCTTTCCAAGCAAAGGGAAGACTTGTGGGAGTGCAAGGCCATGTACCGGCACCTGGAGGTTCAGTGGGTTGAGATGGTCAGCCAGTTCCAGGCCATGATGAGTCCCACTGGAACAAGTCCTCTGGCTCTTTGCCACCAGTGGCACTTCCCTCCAGCCTTTGTCAACCCTGGCACCAGGAGGCTGAAGCAGAGCCCAAGTCGGAATTTCTTCCCCCCTCTGACCTGTAGAAAAAGACCCTGAAGGGGGAGACTTTCTGCAGCAACACAAATGTTCATTGCATGTATCCGGCCAGGGGCTGTAGTTTGAGGACACCTGATTTAATGCAATATAAAAAATGCAAATACATTTTCTGTGGACCACCAAAAATTTTCCCACAGACCACCAGTGGTCCATGGATCACCAGTTGGTCTGGAGGCAATAATGTGTTGAATGATAGTCAAGCAATTTAAATCTGACAAGATGGAGGTCCTACTGAATTGGTGGTTCTGATGATCTGAAAGAGTATAGGAAGCTCGTTCGGAAGGAGGTGTACATGCTAGAGATATCAGTTTTATCACTGGAGGCCTGGCACTTATTGAGTCCGCCCAGTGTTGGTCAAACACACTGATTATGGTTGAACCTAGATTGAGAGTGCCAATCCTTATTTATTGATCCTCATGCAATCTTTCATTTGGACCAATGCAGTGCATTTCATATGGAGGAAGCAGTTGATAACAATCCAGAAATACTTTTGTTACATAAAATACCTAATAACAACAGTAGAGTTGAAAGAACTGCAGTAGTTGCCAACTTGATTCTGAGCCAAATCCATAGTGCTATTAAGGTTGATCTCAAGGCTATTTAGTCACTTGATGTTGCTTATTTGAAGTACTGTGTTAGCCTTCTTGAATTTTTTTGATTTAGGAACTGGGAAAACGTCCCTGTTTCTTCCACCGTTGGGAGAAATATTGACTGGTCTCTGATTATGAACTACTTTCTTACAAAACTATATGTGGCACGGTTCTTAAATAAGGTTTTGGTAGTGATCTAAGATACTGGCTAATAGATAGTGTCAATGTGGGTGAATTCTGTGCCTTTTTTAAATGTCTACTCATTACAACTAACTTTAGAATTTCTGTTATCACCTAGGAGATTTCTATGAATCAGCTGAATTGGTCTGCTGCACAAAGAGAAGCAACCCGAAATGAAACCTGGACCAGGAGGAAACTTTGAGTGGGATTTCATGTCTCTAGATACTGTTTGAATGCAGACACACTGTCTATAAAAACATATACAATCTGCTTTTCTGTAAAATGTCACAGAAGGAAATGGAACATGATTTTAAAACTTTCCAAATTAAACTAATTACTGTTGAACATTTGTTGTCGTTAGGAACCTTTTTTTTTAAAATTAAGTCAACTGTACTTAGTATTTACAGTTTTGTGGGGGATGGCTTCCTTCCTGTGCTATAATGTCCTGCTTATACTCATGTAGCAATGATATGACAGACGTATTCTCCAGTGTGAGGCTACTACAGATAATCCTTGACTTACAACCACTGTTCCCTCTAAGGTGCGCGGCCGCGCGGCCGCGCACATGGCAAGAAACCCCCNCGCCTGCCCACCCGGGCTCCTTAGAGCCCCAACAGGAAGCAGTTGTTGGAGCTAAGCAGCCACCATGAGAAAGAGTTGGCAAAACAGCTGGCTCAGTTCAAATTGGATCTGACCGAGAAGGAGGCTCAGCAGAAGCACCTCACTGAGGACTACGAGTATAGGCAGAGGGAAGTCCTGCGGGAGTGCAAGGCCAGGTACTGGAGCCTGAAGGCTCAGCAGGCTGAGATGGAGCAAGGCCCTCCAGCTCTTTACCACTAGTGGCACTTCCTTCCAGCTTTCATCCAAAGCCCCATACCAGGAGGCCGAAGCAGACTCCAAGTTGGAATTTCTGCCCCCCTCTGACCCTCACAAAAAGACCCCGAAGGGGGAGACTCTCTGCAGCAACACAAATGTTCACTGCATGTATCCAGCCCAGGGGCCGTAATTTGAGGACCCCTGATTTAGTGTAATATAAAAAATGCAAATATTTTTTCTGAGGACCCCCAAAATTTTCTCACGGACTACCAGTTGCTGACCGCTGCTTTAGAGAACAGCTTTTACAATCAAACAGGAAATAAAGCAGGCTTGACTTCCAGAGAAGTTTCAGTCTGCCTTTCGACAGTAGAAAAAATACTTAAAGGAGGGGAAGGTGGTTCATTTACTTAGGTGTATATTCTGGCTTTTGTATCCAAACCAAAAGTAGCATAGATAATGCCCCCCATCTTCTTGCGCTGCCGTCTTATGAGATAGGTCAGGTGAGGGAAAGCAGCTGGCCTAAATACTAAAGGGGCCTAGATCCCGTGTCTCCCCATTCCTTGTCCAACATCTGAACTATTATACTTTACCCTCTTTGTTGTGTACACACGCTAAGGAACTGTTTTTGAACCCGGGCAATTTTCAGACGTGTGGACTTCAACTCCCAGTATTCCCCAGCCTGCAAGATTGAGAAACACTGCCAAACCCCAAAACTTCACAAGCATTAAAATGAGATCTGGGGGAAGCGACAAGGCGTGGGGTGGTGTTGAGGCTTAAGGAGGAAAGAGATGGCAAGAGAAATGAGTTGCGTTAGGAAAACTGATTTGCAGGGGTAAAAGATGGAGGCAGGTGCAGATTTGGTCATAAGGGCATGAATTCCTCCAAATAATACTGAAAAATTGCTACCTGTGTTTCCCCGAAAATAAAACTGGGGTTATTTTGTTTTGGGCCTCAAAATAAACATTAGGGCTTATTTTTTGGGGGGTGTCCCCCCCAATGTACGGGAGGCCCACTTCTGCTGCTTGCTAGTGGGGGGGGAGAGCCACGTGTTATACCAGTGCTGCCGCTGTGAAGCAGAGAAGCCTCCCCATGGGCTCTGCATCGGCTTACTTCAGGCCACCTACGCCCCGACACCTGTGTCGCCCCGTGGCTGCAGCATCAACACACCACTTGACTTCCTGCTCTGTTGCAGCTGCGAGCAAGCAGATGGGATGGGCTGGTGGCCATGTAGGTTCCTGCTGCACATGGCTATTGGTTGCTGTTGCTGCGAGACAGGTGTCGGGGCAAGGATGGCCTGGCTGCAGGGCCCTGGAAGTGAGCCAGTGCAGGGCATGTGGGGCAGCTCCACCATCACTCCACCTCACCTCGTGGTTGCAGCACCACAAACAACTGGACAAAATGGGCAGACAGTTGCGCAGACTCTTAAGTACAGCTTATTTTGTGGGGTAGTGCTTATATTAGGCCACATGTAAAAACAAGCTAGGGCTTATTTTTGGGATACCATATTTTTCGGAGTATAAGACGCACCAAGATTTTGAAGAGGTAAATTTTTTTTTTAAAGTTTTTGCACTCTGCAGGGCTCCCAAACTTTCTGCACGCCTCGTTTTTTGTGAAAATGACTGGAACCAATTTCAACAGCTGGACAGAGACATCTTTCTGTAGGATTCTTCCCCTCTATTAAGAAATCAAGACACAAGTATTGCCATATGAGCTGTGTTACATTGAATTGCAGTGCAGCTACAACTACCAGAATCAGCACTGATGTGTGTGCAAACAGGGCAATCTTTCCGCTCGGCTTTGCCTCTTTTTCTTCA